TGTTTATCAATATTATTGTTATTACTATCATTTTTATCGGTAATGTATTACTGTTTGAAAACTCTCGAATTATAAAATTTTTTCTCAACTATATCAATAATCGAAATAAATAGAGAAGTGAAATTATTCGTGAATCCATTTTATGTCAAAATTTGTGAAAAATAAAGAAAAAGAAGAGTAGGGAAGGAAATGTGAATAATGGTTATTCGTGAGAGTCATGTTTGTCTTAACTCTTTCAATTTTTATGACAACTTTGAATCAACCCTTATTCATCTACCTATTAGACAACAAACAAATCAATTTGATCTAACGATCTGTATTGTCATCATTTGGTAGCTCTTAAATTGACTTTTTGTACTGATGAAAAAAATTTTGTAAAAAAAAGTTTTAATCAAATAATATTAACATAATTTTTTGCTCGAATATTTCAAATTTTGTAATTTTTTTCTAAAAATTGTATTAATAGAGGAAAAGATGAAAAAGAAAATGGGAAAGAAAAGAATGCTAAAGGAATTCAATTATCAAATTTGATTACTAAGATGTAGGTTAATGAGGTATTTCCGTAAATGTCTTAGACGGTTGTTGTGATTACTTACACTGTTACAATTTCTTTTTCACATTATTTTATTCTATTATTGGCTGTTCATATTTTATTAAATTTTATGTTATAAAAATTTATAGCATATATAAATGCTTAATATTTCATACTGTTTATAGCATATTACATGCCAATGTTTATACATAATTCCATTTCGGAAGAAATGTAAATAATTGAGTTATATATAACTGTCGTATGGTTCGCAGATCATCTATTAATGTAAAAATTGTATGATTCATTTGTATTTGATGAATAAATAATTCGTGACAATACTGGTTAATTTGAAATTTTAAATGGTAAAATTTGATACAATTGGACATGTTTTTACGTTTTACTTCGTGTTTTCCAGCAATAAAAGTGTATATATCTTTGAAAATAAGTTATCCTTTATTTATTAATTTTTAGTTAAATTAACTTGTATTACCTAGAATCGATTAGTTTTGATGCTTTGATTAATTATTTCATTGATTCGATTGTAAATTTTGGGATATGAAATAATTTCTCTTTCATTTTTTGATTTTTAGAATTTAATATAAACTGTTTTGCTCACATAAATATTACGTATAACTGTAAATACCGTAACTATTTGCAAAACTGTAAATATTATGTAAAAATATATTTCAAAATTTTAATATCTTTTAGTATTAAAAATTTGCAGATTTATGCGAAACAATTAGTGGCATTTTTGTACCACTGAATTAGAAAAGCCAAAAAACTAATGATAATGAATAGTTTGACATGCTCTCAATCTCTGCTAATACTAACAAGCATATGTTTTTTCTTATTCTCTCAATCTTTTCCCATTCACTACACCAATTTTCATCCTTCCCAATTCAACAATCATTTTTGATTTCAACTATTAATTATATCGTTACGAATCGTAAATTTTTTTACTTTAATTAAATGCACTTGAGTAATACTTCGTCGTAAATTCTACTGCTATACTCTCTCTCTCAAACTGTGACGCTTTTTTTTCTTGCACTTCTCAATCTCTGGTCAATTCTATCGCAGGATGTATTATTTCCTGGATATCCTCAATCTCATCATATTTCTCCGGTAATGTTTGTCTTCCTCCCACTCACCCTCCAAGACTTCTTCGATTTCTAATATTCGTAGACAAACAAATTGCTTTGCGACGTCTTTGTGCGACGATGTTTGGTTTTGGTTTCAATTCGTTGGTTGCCTTACGATACATTTTTTTTCACTTCATGTTTTGACGTAATTGTAAAATGTTTTTGAGTTTTGATTTTTGAAAGTTTGAATGAGAATATGACGAAATTGTATGATTTTACGAGTACATATCGATTGAAGTTATTCGATTATTTTTATTTTCCGGTTGTTTGCATTCATTTGTTTTATTTGTAATCAGCTAATAAAAGAATTTTACTTTGCAACTGTATGTTGACAAAATTGAAGCTTTTATTACTTTTGAAGAATATTTCATTCATAATTTCTATAAAAGTTTCCCTAATTTTGTACATTTTCAAATGTTTTGTTTGCTATCTTCGATCTTGTGCTATTTTTTGAATTTAACCGACAGTAATACATATGAATCATGCAGTTAACGAAAAATTATGCCTTGAACAAATGTCTTTTTTTTTGCATGATTCCAGAGAAAAAAATGCTATTGCAATAGTTGAGGTCGATTGTTGCTGTTTTTAATATTTGTGTATAATCACGTATTGTCACTTAACCTTCTCCTGCAGTGTGAATTTCGCAACTTGACATCTTTATGAATCATTGATACACAGTCATAGTAAATATTTGGTTGTTGAATATTTTCTGATCGTACGAGGTTTTCATAATTGTTTGTGTCCTATTTCTGGACACGATATTTTTCATCCCTACTACTTAGATCCGTTGCTACAAATTTTCGGGCCTTTCAGTGAGTTTTTACGAAATTTCGCAGCTTCTTTTACTTTAAATAGCGAGAGTTGCTGGGATGATTCATCATTCTGTTTAGTAGATGTTTCATATATTATTTATTCATCTATAAAAATGCTTATAGAGAAAATGTTTCCAATAAAATGTTTTTTAGATATGCTTTAGCAGGTTTCACGTTTTTAATAACTCTGAAGTATCTCAGAGTTTTGTCTAATTAGTCCCTCCATAGTCTTTCTGAATGGCCGATTTTCGATCCCAACTTGTTTCTTTATTACTAATTTCCAGAGTTTTTAAAACTAAGATGTCATTGGTGTAAAATCTGTGGGAAAAATATCTGAAAGATTAAAAAAGCTTTCACGAAGTTATATTATGAGTTCTTATTTCAGTTAGATATTTTGGACCCGAAAGAGCATATTGATTTTGGACTTTTCCCTTTTAAAATAGCTAACAGTTTGATACAAATAGGGGTGAATTTCTGCAAACCTAATCCACTACCCTTTGTCTTGGACGGATAACTTTATCTTTTAGATATTTTGCTTTTCAAATTCTTCTGAGGCTGTTTTCATATTATCTTCAAATACGAACAAAACTTGAATATGTCTAAGGTCATATTTGGAAATGTAGTTCCTGTACAATAGACACGGTAGTAGCACTTAACTATTCTACTCCACACGTATTTTCACATTATTTAATTAGTTAGACATTTAAAGCTGGGAATCAAAACTGTGATTAGAAGTGAAACTCTTCAGTAGTTCTAAGTTTACGTTTTTGAAATAATTTCTTAGTGAATTTTCACAGGTTTTTGTTAAGCATTTGAGAAAGGTGCTTGTCTATTTAAGTTTTAATATTCAGATTCCCATTGTCAGAAATATGATTAAATAACTGGTTAACTTATCAATAATGAACTTTTTCAATACTGAGCCATTTTCCCATGTTTTGTTTCGTAATTCACTTTCTCACTCTTTGTGTTCTTTACCTTTTGCAAGCTTTTAACAGGGCAGTATTTGTTTTCACTTTATTTATTTGTTAAAGCAAAGGAGTAAATGGTTTTAAAGAAAACCTAAAAATGAGAAATACCATTTTTTAGGTAGTGCGTTAACAGAGCACATTCGACCACGGAAGATGTTTTCGTGGATTGGCGGTGATTCGTCTAAAAAGAAGCAACAAGAGGTAGATTTGAATTTTTTCCGATTAATTCATGATTTTTTAGATTAAGATAAGAAATGTTTTGGTGGAAAAATAGTTCCAGTTTTGTCAGTGTAGAAGTTTGTCTTTCCATGACTATCGAACAACTACGATTTCTCTCACTAATAATTTATGTTAGTGATAATTGTTGGTCGGCAATCTTGTAAATCCTTTTTCAATCTTACCCATTTCTTGAATTGGATTTTCTGAATTTATTGTGAAAAAGATTCTTTTGGAATTTTTTTTATTAATATGTGTCAGTTTTCGGAGAACAGAAATATTAAAAATAGACTTATCCTTATTTCCTATTTCGATTCACTGCGGTATATGTTTCGTGGAAGTGGAATTTTGCTGTTTCTGGTCTCAACACTGAGTAAGGTTTCATCATCAGAAAATCTTAATTTGCACTTGTACTCATGATGGTGATGACGTTTCATTTACGCTCTTTCTTGTGCTCTGCTTTTTAGTTTGATTGATGGGGACACTTTTCCCTTCAGTAAGCTTTGCTTGACATGAATCAATTTTATTGTTTTGTTTTTTCTTAATGAAAATTGTTTTATTTTCCAATGGAACATCACAATGTGATGAAGTATGGAATGATTCTTAGCACGCATATCAAATTCGCTAATTTTTATAATTTATTGGGAATTTTTGCATGATAAAGTGACGAGATAGAAGCAATAATTAGTGTATCGAAAAACGAAAAACATGTTGCAGGTGTGTGTTAGTATGAATGTCTTATTAGTAATGTTCGCAAACCAGCTGCAACATTTTAATTTTTTGAAATGAGAAAAAAGAGTTGATGGTCCACCTGTACTTGTTTTAAATGGTAAGAAGAATAAAGAGGAGGGGGAAAGAGCGTATGAAAGAGTGGAGTAGAGCAACAGGCGAGAGCTGGTGCAGCCATTTTTGGATTATCGAATTCAACCCCTTTCTTCTCTCCTACAACTACTGGTGAAAATATTTACTCGTGAGTGAGTAGACAAGATATTACTACAGCCTACAGTTTGTGCCACCACATGCCAGCTTTTAGTACCTCTACTGCTAATAGCACTACAACCGATGGTACTATGCGACCTAAATTTAACAAAGATCTCAAACAGGTCCTCGAAACCGTCAGTGATGGATTACGAAAGATTTACAAACAAAAATTGTTACCATTGGAAGAATATTACAGATTTCATGATTTTCATTCACCAGCACTTGGTATGTATATTTTATATTCTAATTTTGCTTGTATTATTGTAATAGTTACTTTGACATGATTGGATATTTATTTGCTTGGTCAGTAGTAAAGATTTTTAGGAGGTATAGTAGAAGGGAAAAAAATATATCCTTTCTGGAAATGCATACGATTTTCGTTTCTTTTGTAAGACTGAAAAAGCTGTTTCATATTTCTTATTGAGGAAGCCGGTAGAACTGACTGAACGATTAATTCTACTGTAGGTTTATCATCTTTATACGTCTTTCGTTACTTCTAAATCCAGAATTTATTCTAAAGATAGACATTTAACAAATTTACAATTTATTCGCAACTTCCGGAATCACATTCCTCTTACATTTCTTGATTTAGATGATCCCGACTTTGATGCCAAGCCAATGATACTTCTAGTGGGACAGTATTCAACGGGAAAAACTACATTTATCCGATATTTATTAGAAGAAGATTTCCCGGGAATCAGGATAGGACCTGAGCCAACCACTGATCGATTCATAGCTGTAATGTGGGGTGACGATGTTGGCTCGATTCCTGGCAATGCACTCGTTGTTGATTCTAAGAAACAGTTCAGAGCATTGAGCAGGTGTAGTTGATTTTACTCAGTTATTTTTTGAATCTAGGTTTAATTTATGTGGTTTTAATTTTTTTATTGATGATTACTTTAATCAGTGTTTGCTCTACCACTTTGTTGGAACATTCATCACATATTTTTGGGTGTGAAATAAAGATTAGCACATTGAACAGACTATACTAAGAAAACAGTTCATTTGATGAAATTTCATTTGGAATCGTTCATATATTATAAGCATTTATAAGCTGATAATTCCTGAAGTTTCATAGGAAGTCACATTATTTACTTTTTTAGATTTGGAAATGCATTTCTCAATCGATTCCAGTGTTCAACGCTAAATAATGAAGTGTTGAAAAGTGTTACTATCGTGGATACACCCGGGATATTGAGTGGAGAAAAGCAGAGGTATTATTATTAGTAACTGTTTCGATATTATTTATTGGGATAATCATAATGTAACTCGAAAACTTTTATTCTGATTGCATATATTTAGGATAAAGCTGTATAATTACTATACACAGAAATATAGAATAAATATGGGATGTTTGCTTATGAAAATTGTAGGAATATTGTTATTGAAGAAGAAAATATTAGACAAGTGCTAAGATATTTATGGTGGTATATCGTCTGATATGATCAAGCATGAATTTTGGAAAAAATTCTCAATGCTATTCATTTTACCACTTACTTCTTCCTGTTACTTGGCTGCAGGGATACCTCCAATCAGCGCATTAAAAAATTTTCCAGGGGAAAATATTTGCTGTACGTATAGTTCTTGAACTTTTTATATCTTAATGAGAGATGACTAGATGAGATTTGATGAAAATCAAATCTATTGTACAATTGGAGGCAAAAAGTTTTAGGTAGTGAGCGCTAGTCCTTGTACTTGGTTAGTCCCAAAATAATAGTTGCTTTTAAGGGAACCGGTTACTACAGAATAAACTATAACAAAATCCATTATTTATGTTTGCTTCTAACCTCTCAGATTACAAAAAATTTTTCACAAAAACAGTTTTGCGGTTCCGGAAAAAATTTTTGCTAGCGAGTAATAATTTCTTATTTTTTCTTGGGGAAAAATCAGTCATATTCATGATTATTATCAATAAATTACAGGTTATTATTATCTGAACAGTAACTTCAAGCTTAAAATATATGAATTGATTTTTTCTCCAAAATATATATGAATGGATTAGTATGCATGAAAAGTATTAGAAGAAAGTATTTTTTGCACGTAGTTGTAATCGTCGACAATCTACAGATAATTTAAACAAAACGGTGTTTTTATTTCAGTATAGCTGGGTCCAATTTGAAATTACAGCATTGTTTGAAAACGATCAGTTATAAGTGAGCATTACTGATGTATGAATAATTTGCTGTAACTGGGTAGAGAACATAATATTGCGGCCTTGTTTTGAATTGCAATTTTTTATTCACCTCCTCTTCATGCACCCCACCTATTTTCAAGGATCAACTATTTTCAGTGATTTGCACTGTTTGTCGTTACATGGCTGTAATAATGACAAATTGTGTGTTTAAGCCCCAATAGTAAACTCACTACCCATTTTTTTGAGGACATAACGAGGTGGATTTATCCTTTGTTATTATGTTGCTACCAATTGACTTCATATGACAGTGTTATTGTTAAGTAATTCAAAAGCTATCTAAAAAAACTCGAGTAGTACAAATTTAAAATTTTCTTTTACCAACGTGAGCAACAGCGTGGTATTTTTTGCCAATCAAACTGTGATTTCGAATAATATTTTCTTTATTCACAAAATTTTAAACCAAAATCTATTTTCAAAAAAAGTGACGAAAATATATAACCAACTTTATTGTACTACTCAGATTTTTTGGACTGTCCAATATTTCTAATTACAAGCAATGGCAAAATTGACTATCAGATGTTTCCAAATAAGTGATAAGTGTAGGTCGATGTAAATGGAATATAAGGGACGATAGGATCAGAAAGTTTTATTCAGGATTGATCGAGGATATGATTTCACGGGTGTTTTGGAATGGTTCGCGGAGCGCGTAGATCGGATTATTCTATTGTTTGATGCTCACAAGTTAGACATTTCAGATGAGTTCAAACGTTGCATCGAAGCACTATCAGGTTTTCACACGTTATCATCATTTATACTCTTTAATATTTGCTGTACATGTTTGCAAATATTTTTCGCTGATCATATTGATATGGGATCTACAAAAGGATGGTGATTTCCAGGTGATAGAGAATGAAATTGAATGTGTTGCCGAATTAGGGGTTACTTCTTTTCAGGAAATGAAGATAAAATCAGAATTGTTTTGAACAAGTCTGATATGGTTGATCATCAGCAATTAATGCGCGTGTATGGAGCACTGATGTGGTCTTTGGGAAAGGTAGAGTTTTCCTCAAAAAAAATATTTTTTCTAAAAAAAATATTTTCTCTTTTTTTTAAAATATTTTCTAAAAAAAATTTTACCAATTAAAGGTTTTTCTAACTAATTTTAAAAACTGTTAAAATTAGTTAGAAGAAACTGTTTAATTTTTCTCGCGGTTAAGGTCTTAACAAAAATTTCTTCAATTTATAGGTATTTAAAACACCAGAAGTATCACGAGTATATATTGGTACATTCTGGGATCATCCCTTACATTTCGACATAAATCGAAGGCTTTTCCAAGATGAGCAGCATGATTTGTTCGCCGATTTGCAAGCTTTGCCCAGGAATGCAGCATTACGAAAGCTCAATGATCTTATCAAACGGGCTAGGCTTGCTAAGGTTTAGTTTTTCTTTCTCTTTTATTTTTAAGATGAAGTACTTCATATTAAGTCTTATCATAAGAGATGACTTTCTTTGATAATTTAACATTTTTGAGGAAATGATTACCATTTTTATATTTTTCAGTTTTAGGTGCATGCATATATCATAGCGGAATTACGCAAACAAATGCCTTCAATGATTGGTAAGGAGAAAAAAAAGAAGGAGCTTATTCAAAATCTTGATAAAATATTCGAACAGCTACAGGTATGTTACCCATTTATTGTTCACTGGAATCATAATATTATATTGTACTAATTCGTAAGATCTTAACAATTTTATATTTGATATCAATTCCTAGATTTCAAAATTGATCCTATTTCTTTCATAGTAGCCCAAATTTCCTTTCTTGCGGCATAACTTTGATGCTATAAAGTGTTTTGAGATACTAAATGACTTCCTTTGCTTTAGCGTGAACATAATATTTCGGCAGGAGATTTTCCGGATATCAATAAAATGCGTGAACATTTACCGGATTATGATTTCACCAAGTTTAATCCAATCAAGCCGAAATTGTTGGATGTTGTTGATGGAATGCTTGCTTCTGATATTGGTATGCAATTCAATATATTTAAAAAATGGCTGCTATTGCTAATGAGTGTAGTTCAAGGCTTCTAAGCCTTGTTTAATTTTTCAGTGTACTTTATCCAAAATTTTTTTAGCATTCGCAGCAGCGAATTGGAAATCCTGCGACGCATACCTTGTTAAAAAGTGGAACTTATTTATATCAATAGAATGAGTTTCTGTTTTACACTTGTAGAAAATTTCAGCTCGATTAATGGCTCAAATTCCAAAAGAAGAGAATGCTTTTATTACAAACGGTTTACCTCAACCCCATCAAACAGAGGCTAGTTTTTGTTTTATTTCAATTTTTTCAAAAAACAGTAAGCTATTTTGCTGAAGATATGTGTGAAACCTGTTCGTTTCATTGATTTTAACATTGATATTTTTTATTTTAGGTTCATGGTGGCGCTTTTGACCAAGCTGTTGAATCAGAAACTCCGTTTGGTTTTGGTAAAGGAGAAGGTTTCGATAAGGGTGCTAATGAATCCGGTTGGGTAGTTGCTCGAGAAAGATATAAAGCAGATGAATTGTTTGAAAGTTTGGACCCTATAGATGGCAAAATAACAGGTTTGATTTAAAATTTTTCCAGCTTTAGTTTTCTTAATCCAGGATACTTCAGGGCAAACAAAAATTAGGTCTTTAACGGAGAAATGTACTTTCTGTATATTATGAATTGCTGATTGTTTCATACATCAAATTCATCTATTCTGTTTTAATCGTAGGATTTGTAGAAAGTAACAAACTAATTGTTGCATTATTTGAACAAGATATATTTTATTAAGGTCGAGCTGCAAAGGAGCATATGGTCAAATCGAAATTGCCAAATGCTGTATTGGGAAAAATATGGAAATTGTCAGATGTTGATAATGATGGAATGTTGGACAGTGATGAATTTGCCCTTGCTAATTATTTAATCAATTTGAAACTTGAAGGTTAGCATTTGAGGTTGCATTGCAGTTTAAAATAACCTTTCATGCTCGAATATCAACAGAACGCTGAACTGTTTCATAATTAGTGGGAGCTTGAAATGATAATAAAATTAATAATTAATTTATGAATGGTAATCAAGTGTTCTGGTAATTCCTAGTCAAAAAATTTTTCTCTTTTTGATGTGTAACTCCAGTTCTCTGTTTAAGAATACATATCTATTTGCAGGACACGAATTGCCAACTGAATTGCCGAAACATTTGGTTCCGCCATCGAAGCGCGATCCCATTTATCCTTCACTAAATTCCTGAAAGAGTTTATAACAGTAGTAAACTGGGAGAATTTGAATCAAATTTTTGGTACCATGCAGCTCTTCATTTCTAACGATGTTGTGATTGTTGAGAGTAAGAATTATAATATATTTTGATTAGTTTCATCAAAATGCATGGATTCTGTTGATAATCAGTTTTGAGATATTTTTATTTCGGATGCCTAATGCCTGATTTACAGTCAAAACCTTTCGCTATTCACGTGCTTGAAAAAAAGTTTGTTCTTTTAAACAAAATGAATATGTCCATGCGTTTCATAAATTTCAAAAAATTCTGAACTCTTTGTAAAATTTATGAGATGTATAGGAATATTCATTTGAAAATGAAAGAGATTTTAATTTAATTGAAGAGATAAGTGCGGCTTCTTTCTTTCTTCATTACACATTTAGGGATGTGTGGTCTTGGGTCTTCTTGCCTTCTTCTGTTTTGAAATACTTTTATAATATAACGATATTAATGTTTTTCTGATTGATTTTGCTAAGAGAGTGGAACAAGTTCAGTCTGGATCAGGTTCGAAAACACTTTAGATTTTTATTGGTCAAGGATGTGAATATGAGACACTGAATTTCGGACTTTTGGTAAATGTCAAATTGTTCCAGAGGAAAAACTTTTTCACTTATAGAAATAATAGAGTCTGATTTACTTTCCAGAGAGCATATTTCGTATTTAAATCGAGATTAGTCATAAGAGATTAATCATACATTCAAAAAATAATGTATTTTTTGAATTCCTTAGATAGAATTTTAAGGCAAATGTGCTGTAGATTAGAACTGTAAATGTTTGTATGACCTGTATTTCTTCTCTTTAAAATTATTTCCTTTCCTTTGCATTCTCGCCAAATACATTATTTATTATTAGTAATGAGTTGTTGAAAATGTTTTAATAGCAGAGTAATACGTGTTCTGAATAGCTGGTCAACAGTAGCTACATGAAGAGAAGATTTAACTGATTAATTTTGTATGATCACCATATTTCTGAACGAATATTTTGGAAATTTTCGAGAATCCTTCCGAATTTTTTCTAATTCTTTATATGTGTTTTTGCTGTTCATTCATTGCACTTCATTTTAAATTTGTAATCAGTGATTTGTATCTATCTGTCAAAATTTTCATACACAATCAGTGAAATAATTTATATGTAATAATCAAAATATGTGATACATAAACAGTTGATTCGTCGTTGATTGCACACATCTACAACATTGCAATTGCATTACTTTTAAGCTTAATTGAACATTATCTTAATCCGGGATTGCTGAGAACGAAATAGATTTTGGCAATATTTCACATAACATGGTTAACATAACACGAGCATAAGTGTATCAATTAGTCCATACAAAAACTTATAGTATCTGAGAATTAAATATGGAGCAGTTGGATAATACAGCATATGCTTCTTCACAAGTTTAATTCCCTTGAAGCGTCATGATGTATTATCGATTTTTTTGATTTTTTAATGTGAAGAAAAACGTAAAGATCAAACGTTCACACTCGAAAATGGATCTTGGGGAATGATATATGTACTTTTTGTCAATTGGAAATTTAAAAGAAATCATGAAAGTATGGCAAGCATTAAACTGTGTTTTTGCTAGTTAACAAAAGAATTTTTTTTTTCGAGAATATATGCCTCAAAATATTTTATGTTTTAATGGTTATACTGATATTAAAATTGAAAAAAAAAAGTTATGCACTGTTTGCATAATAAAATACGTGGATAGTCTGATTTGATAAATATTCCGAAATTTGTAAATGCTATTTTTAAAATGAATGACAAAAGAAAGATATTGAAATGAAAAGATAGAAATTTTATTAAAATGAAAGGGTAGAAATTGTTTAGCAAATTTTAGTTTGCAAAATTATTGATTGTCAACTGTGTAAATTGTAGAGTGCAAAATAAATAATATTTACAGATGCGCAGAGAAAGGAATCATTGGAAATGATGTTTTGATCGATTCCATGTCCTCTATAACACTTCAAAATCGTAAAATCATCATCATCTTGTTTTCAACAACTATTTGAATTGCTATGATCGTATATTGCTATTAAATTGTTTAAGCCTTACAGAATTTCTTTTTCTTTTAAATCATTATCACTGCTATTCTTGTTGTTGTAATTATCATCAAACATAATTTACAATAATTTTGAACTATTTGAATTAAATTATAGTTATTTTAGCTTCCTGTATAATATAGATTACAGATAGATGGATAATTTTTATAGATAGATATAAATGATAATCGATAATTTTATAAATAATAATCGATATAGTAATGATAATGTTATAAATCATAATCGGTAATATTATTAACCATAAAAATTTTCAAAGATATTTTCATCTCATTTTTGCCAAATTTTTTTTTCGCTTTATTGTTTTTGGATAATATTTTTCATTCATAGTTTAAATTAGTATTCAGTATTGTTTCTCTTTCCTTCTTTTTTTTTTATTTGCTATAAAGTTAATTGCATGTAAGCTATATAAGATGAATGAAATTTTCTCTCAAATATTTCGATGAAGGAAAAAAAAATGGAAACTTTATTGCCATTTTATCGTTTTTTATTTGAAATTTAAACTTTGTAGTGTAAAACTGGTGGATAGTTTTTAAATGAGAAAAACCAATGTGAGCTGTTGCTTTTTTTGGCATTATAAATGATTGTTAAAGTTAAGAAAATCATTTACTGCCAGTTTATTGCGCTTCACACTACAAGCAATTTCCTATTTTTCAAATTTTATCAAACATTTATGATAGATAAATGAAACAAAGGCCTAAAATATGCTTTGAAAATTTTCGGCTAATTAATCTTAGATTGCTAATATATTTATTTGTTTGTAAATGCAAGATTCTAATTTCAAATAATTATTCCTAATTTTCTCTTTCATAAAAAAAATGCAGCAAAGGAGCAATAATCTTTCAGTGTACAATTACAAATGTCAGTTGAAACATTTTTAAAAGCATCAAAAATAATTAGCCTGAAATATGGTGAAGATAATATCGATCGTTTGCATTACTTTCTAACTACCAATTTGCTGGTAGCAGCAAGTACCATAGCCGCTTGGAAAATGTTCGAAGGAGGTGCAATTGAATGTATGTCACCGACAAATTTCCCTAATTCATGGACTGTGGTTAGTCATTTTCTTCGTTTTTTTTTGCTTCTTCAGAAAATGGAATGGAAAGAAAGATTCTTTCGAAATTACTTTTCAACATTGAATAATATCTAATTGATAATTAGTAGTGAGAAATGTACTGCACTGATTCTTTTATCTTTAGCACATTAAATATTAATTAATAGGGGAGATATATTAGTTTCAATTATCAATTAACTCATCATATCAAACTATTTTTTAATTCATAACTATCTACTGATTATAAAAATATGTTATGATAATTTATTCATAATAGCAATTAATGAATCGAAGAAAATGACCAGATCTTATGATTATTT